AAACAGAGTGCAAGGGGTGTGCTTTGCTGGCATGAGCTGTTACCAGGGAGGTCTCTTTTGGGGCCTCGAAGACCGAAAGTCATGAGGTTAGATGTTGTTTGAGTCCTGAAGTTGACCAAGCATGAGCACTGGGTGAGGATGTTCTTTCCCCAATGGCCTGGACTAGGTGGGCGGATGACTTTACACGGGGTAATCTGAGACCCAAGTCATGAGAAGGAGCCAGTCACATGCAGAGACTAGGTAGGCAGGAATAGGAAGTTTTAAGGTGGCTTGAGAGAAAGTCAGAAGGCCAGTGTGGTTGAAGCACAGTGAGTAAGGGGAGGGAGAGAGGACCAGAGGGAAGGACCGTCTCTCTGGTACTTAATACATTTCATCTCATCCTTCTGTCTATCAGTCTATCCATTTGCCTAGTCCATAAACATTCATGCCTTTAAGACAATGGGTGGCAATAAGACTGAAGGAAGAGTTTGCAAAGCAGAAGGGGAAAGATTCACAATCTAGGCAGAAAAACCACACATAAGCCAAGGCCTGGAAAGGAAAATGCTTGCCACTTGGGTGGGGCCTGTTGGGAAGGGTCTTGAATGCCTGGCCTCCCCCTACCAGGGGACCCTCCACCGTATAGAGAGAGCAGAACACCAACATGCGGAACACCAGGAAATGTTGATAGGTGGAAAACAATTTTTTTAATGTAATTCATGACTCCAGGATAAATCAGATATAGTCTTATACTGTATTTTAATACAGCCAAGTGGGTAGCAGGGACCCAGGGCTTAAGAAAAAGTAAAGGGAAAATTACTTAAAATGGAGACTATGCCATCAATTAGCTTGATTTTTTTCCCTGCCAACCAAGAAAAGCCCATCATTAGTTACTATTAGTGATGGCTGGGCTTGGAGAACACCTGTTTTCTACTGCGCGTCGCTGGTGTGGGCCAGAGGGAGCTGTTTCAGGGCCTCAATCAGGCAGTGACATGATGAGATTTGCGCTTTGGAAAGGTCACCGCTGTTGGGTAGAGAATGGATGGAGGGGAAGAGAGGGTGTCTGTTAGGCTGAGGCGTTGTGGCTGAAGGCAGGCGAGCTTCTCGGGGTTAGAAATACTCAAGGTTTTGAAGAGCTATTTGGAGAGACAGACACAAAGCTCCTGGTTCGTAAAGCTGGACAGAATCTGCCAGTTCTGTCAGATCTGTGCAAATGAGACATTCATTAGGCCCGGGGCCTCTGCTGCTCATCTCAATGAAAGAATGACCATCTGTTTTCCAAGAGGCGCCAGGAAGGCCCAAATAAAACGGTGTCCGTTTGAGACTGTTTAAACCCCTTTTCCACCTGAGAGTATGTTGGAGACATGTCTGGATTCCCAAGCCACAGAATAAGAACTTTGAAATGTATTCAGAGAATACCGGGTCGCCACCTCCATGCCCGGCTCTTCAGAGTCTGCAGTGATGCCCCCCAAGGAGAATCCAGCCCACCTGAGCTCTGGGTCAGCAAGGCAGCCCCGGAAATATACTGCATCGCCCATGTGCAGAGCACTTAATATGTGCTGGGCCGGAATCAGGGCTTCGCAGCTCTATCTCGTCTCAACTTATTTACCGAAGGGTGCAAGTCTCTCACTGCTGACCCATTTTGTCTAACCTCTAAACTGTCAGCACTTGAAAACCTTCTCCCACCCCCGCCATCGTGTGGCTTCAGCCGGGAAAGTCCACGTTTATGGTTCTCTTCCCGCACTGATTAAAATGACAAGAGGACAATGAAACACTTGTCTCCAAAAGTGACTTCTTGGATCCACTGGCAAAATGTTCGAAAGTGGGTACAAAGCCCAAGAAACAGGACACCCAGGCTCTTTGAGCTTTGGGAGTATTACAGAATCCTAGCCCGGGCCAAGAATGAGTCACAATGAAAGCTTTTAAAATATAAAACCATCAACCTAGATTTCAATTCCAAGGAAACACATACTTGGCCATGAGGGAATGCTTAAAAAAAAATCAGGCTTAAGCCACTTGACAGGAAAATAAAACAGCCAAGGAACATTCAAATCTAATGATTTACATCCTACCCTAGTCCCCCACCCCCACCCCGCCACCTCCCTTCTAATATGGGTCAGGGCTGACATGGACTGGACAGTCTCCACCAGTGTGCATGTCCTGGCCAGGGTTCCCTTTTCACTGAACACTATTTTTCATCCACGATCCTGTGTCTGGACGCAGCCAGTCAGAGCTGCACGGTGCTGCCTTCTGGTTGCTGTGCCAGTTGCATGGATTCTTCACAATTTCCCTGCTCTCGGGCGCTCCTGGGTTGCTGGAGGTGGCTGTTCTGGGAATACGAGGATTTTTCTTCCATGATTTATGTGGGCAAGTGCTGTTCATTTCTCTCAAAGAAATGGAAGCTTGATTGATTTCCTAAATGTAAGAATGAGATTGTCCTGCAATAAATATTCAAGACTGACCAGGAAGGGCGACCACCATCTGCTGAAACACAAGCCCAGGAATTACTTTGTTAAGCTTTCCCAGCCAAGGGAATGAATGAACAACCATCCGACATAAGATTTGCTCAGCACCTGAGAGTTCACAAAGGTTTTCACTTATCTCATTTGATCTTCACCATAGCCCCTGAGTGGTAGGGTACAGGTTTAGAAGGATTATTAAAACCCCACATTTTTTTCTTTCCTAATAGATAAGGGTTCTAAAGGCTTCAAGTCACTTGGGGGAGGTTAGAGAGTTTGGGGACTATATCGCGGGTCTCCAATTCATTCATGCACATATTTAAAAAACATTTATCTAGAGCCTAGTCCAAACTGGATGAGATGGGAGAGGGTACAAAGATGAATAAAACACAGTGCCTGGTAGGAGAAAGATCATGTTCTAGCCGTAGGGGAGAGAGCCAGAAGTAAACATGTCCGTGCTTTGCAAGGTAGTGCTCAGGAGAAAGAAACAGAATGCGGACCACATTTGTATTCGAATGTTCTTGACCACGGCTCGACTGTTATTTACAATCTCTCTCCTCTAAAGGCGGGAGTAGAGGGGCTTAGCCGTGTGCCTGGGGTCAAGTGTCACTGGGGGATCGCACGCCGCCGGGTGGGGACAGAACTCTCCCTCTTACGGCAAACGTGCAAATATTTCCCCGGGGGGTGGGGGGTGCCGAGCTAAGCCGGAGACCTGCACACGGCCTCCCCGAATTTCCCTCCACGAGATAACTCGGGGTCTCTGCCTTTAGGGCAGCGGCTTCATCCCGCCGCTGCCTCCAGCGCGGCGAGGCGGGCAGCTCGCTGTCCGCGGTTACACGCGGCGGCGAGACGGCGAGGTTTTGTCTCGCCCGAGCATCGTGCACCGCCCGCGAAAAGTCCGCGAGCGAGCACCCCTTCTCCGCGCGTCTTCCTCTCGCGTCACCCCGGCTCTGGCAGCCACAGCCCCTTCCTCGAAGCGAACACACCAGCCCCGCTCTCTGGCTCGCCTTTTAATTTTTATTTCATGCCTTTTGAGGTTTCCCTCCCAAAGATATTTTTCACAATATTTTTTAGTTGCACAACTGATGGATAGAAACATTCTCCTTTAGATTAAAAAAAAATGACACGTACATATACTGGGTCGCCAGAGGGACGCCGCCCGCCGCCCGGCGAGTGCGGCTGACAGCCGCGCGCGGGTCTCCGCGCCGCCCGGGAGCCCTTTGTGAGCGCCGACACTGGCATTGTGTTTCCCGTTTTGCTTTATTCTTCTTCGCAAACCCAGCGCTTAGCACGCGGGAAACGCTCGGAAAACGCACGTGTGTGTGTAAAGTTTGTTTAATTGCAGAAACAAATGCGGAGACGGGGCAGCTCCCGGTTTGCAGGGCGCTTTTCCTTTGTTACGATCTCACTCGCGAGGGTGGCCCCGCAGCCCCTCGGTGGTCCTGGCTCGCCTAGGAAGAGGAAGCCGGTTCTACCCAGCCCCGGACCCTGGAGAGAAACGGCCGCTTGGCTCCGTGACCCCGACCCGCTCGTGCCCGCGCGCCCGGCCCAGGCCGTTTCTGGCTCGGGCTTCGGTCTCGGGGGCGCCCGTTGGGGTCGGCCTCGCGGCGCCCGTGGGGTTGCCTCTGGCCGGACACCCCTCGGGATTCGGGCCTCCCTCGCGGGGCGGCCGCCTTGGCCCCTGCTCGCCGCGCCCAGCTTGGGCGGCTCGATCCCAACGCGGCCGGGCGGAGGCCCTGCCCGACTACCGCCACCCGGGCCGTCCTCGGCGAGCGAGGTCGAGGGTCCGTGGGGGAGGCGTCCCCAACCCGACCGACCCGTGGGAAAGCCGGCGGGGGCGCGGGGGGCGCAGGGCCAGGCTTGGCACGCCGTCGCGCGGGTCTACTAGGCAGGGAAAAGTTGTTGGGGGCGGGGGGCTGTCAAAGTTTTGGGGAACTTTTCCACTTGAGATTCTACAACCCTGCAGTGCCCCCTACAGAAAGCAGCAGCCGAGGAGGGCGGGCGCCCCCCGCGCCCCCCGACTTCAGGCGGCTGCGCGGCTCAAGCGGCCTGGAGCTCTAGCTGTAGCTTTTGCTTTTTTCCCCCTTGTTTTTCTGATACATCTTTTTTCAAAATTGAAAAAAAAAAAAAAAAAGAAAAGCGAGCGCGAGCCGCCGCCTGCAGTGGAGCGTGCTCGGCCTCCAGAGGCAGTCGTCTCCAACTTTTCCTCTCCCGCCCCAACCCCGCGCGCGCCTCAAACTTCGGTTCTGCTGGAGCCCAAATTTGCCTGCCGCTCGACTCCACTCTAATAAGCGCGACAAGGCCCTTGGCAGTTGTTTGCAACGTGGGGGCCACGCTCTCGAGGCTCAGGCCTGCCCGATGGCCCACTCCCGGTGTCTGGGCCCAGTTTGGGAAGGGGAAACCGAACGTCCCGGGAGCACCCCGGGATAGGGCGGAGCGCTCTCGTGCCCCGGGGCAGGGTGGGGGGGTAGGGATCTCCCGCGCCCGGAACGTTGCGAGCAAGGCTTGCGAACGTCGCAGGGGGGCACTCGCGAGAGACGGACAGGAAGAGGGCCAGGGGGGAACGCCAGAACCCGGGACCACAGCACGGAAACGGCCCGGGGCTGAGCAGAAGTCAGATCCGGGGATGGAGGGAGCCGGAGAAGAGGAGTGAGGAGGCCGGGGAGGCAGGCCTTGCTGCCCTCTTGAAGGCCGGCAACCTGCTGTGGCAGTGGAGCTCCAGGCCGCCCAGAAAGGGAAGGGGTCAGGAGGTCGGGCCCCGGCCTTTGCAAGCTCAAACAAGGCCCAAGAAGGGAGCAGCAGGAGTTCTGGGCCCAGGCCTCGCTCGGGTTGTCCAAAGGGGGCCTACACCAGGCCTCTGGTGGAGAAACCGAGTCAGAGTTAGGCCTCAGGCCCGGCCCAGACGCGTGTGAGCCAAGTTAGGGGTAGGGAACAAGGACCCTGGGGGGTCTCAGAGACTAATGTGGTAGGGGGCTTCAGAGCTTCCCAGTCCAGAGCCGGATTGGCGAGTTAGACGCTTGTAGATCCGAGGTTGGATTGGGGAGGGGTCTCTGGGAAGTTGGCTAGCTACACAAGGATTGGGGGGATTTAAGTGCTTAGAGATCGAAGGCAGGTCTTGGGGAGGGGGAGTCAGACAATTGAAAAGCCTGGGTGGTTATTTGGGGAGGGGTCTTTGCGCCTGGACGAAGCTCAGAGCAGCACCTGCTTGGCTTGAGGCCTGAGGCCTTGTCAGGAGAAGCTTCAGTGAAGGGTGGGCCGACTAGGCCAAGCCAAGAGAAAGAAAGTGAATAAACCTGGACTATAAGTGGGCGGGGGTCTCCTGAGCGGGGGTCACAAAGGGTGAGCCATGGCCACCAGGCGTTTAACCGACGCTTTCTTGTTGTTGCGGAATAATTCCATCCAAAACCGGCAGCTGTTAGCCGAGCAAGTGAGTAGTCACACCACCTCCAGCCCTCTGCATTCACGTAGCATTGCTGCGGTGAGTCTCCAGGCGGCCTCTCCGACACACGCACCGTGTGCACTGCGGCTCTGCCTGTCTGTCTGTCTCTGTCTGTCTCTGTTTTAAAAAGATAAGAATAGGAAATGCGAGGTCTCTTGGCCAGGGTCCGAGAGCTTCGGTACCCTGCATGGGGAAAAAGCAGTTTTAGGCCCCCGCTCCACCTCTGCCTTGCACGCTCTCCTCACTTCCGCATCCCTCCTGATTCCCCCCCTTCCCGCCCCCCCAGGCGTCACTGCACGGCCGGCCGCCTCCAATTTACATATGTTTTAGCGCTAAGATTTGGAAGCTTTGGGCCTTTACGAAGCCTTTGTGTTTTGTTTTAAGCTCCCCCCTCCGCCCCCGCATACTGAGCCTCACTTTGGTTCTCTGAGTGCCGGCTTGCCGGATCGAAGACCCAAATTCTTGCAAATGAACGATTCCCTCCCCCAGACGAGGAAGGAGTTGTTTGATTTTTTTTTTTTTTTTTTGGTCCTCTTTCTTTTAATGGCCTCGAAGCCCTCTGTGTGGCCGTGTTCCCTGTGAATAATTGCCTCACTGTTTTTCCTGGGGGCTCTTGTTTGTGAGACTGTAAGGTGCTAGCTTCTTCGTTTTCCATTTCCCACACAGGAAATTAAGCTTCTCCCTCCATTCTAACTTAAAAAAAAACAAAAACAAAAAAAACATGGTGTATATGTGAAAATTAACTCCCTAAGTAGCACCTGTTTTGATTTAATTAACCTGAACGTTTCTTCAGACCAGCAATAGACTCTTACTGGGAAGGCCTGGAAAGATTACTGTTGCCTTTTTGTTTGTTTTTGATGAGGGCTACTCTGAACCTGCTTTCTGCTGTGTAGAATATGCGAATGGGGGTTACATGATTGTAGCTGGGGATGATGATTAGCCCTGTGGTATCTTTAATTGAAAAGTGGAGTTAGGATACTGGTTTGTGTTGGGGAGGCCCCTGGCTGTGGACAGGCTAGGTTGGAATAGAAGCAACATTGGAGAGCGAGGGAATAAAATAAAGTCATGCCGAGACCAGATTCCTGGGGGTTGTGGTTGAGACATACCGTTTTGGGAATCTCACACTCATCTACCTCTTAGGGACTGTCCTCCCTTTTAATTTCTTTTCTTTATGACTTGATCTAAAATGCTTCAGAAAAATTAATGCCATCTGTCTTGATTATTGACAGAGCATCTACAAAGACAGTTTTTCCTTTCTGTAAATCACAAGTGGAAAATGTCTTTGGCTATTTGAAGCTGTGTGAGCAGTTGTAGGAATAAAATCACTGTAAACTTAGGTCAAAAAGCATACAAGACAGAGGGACGGAGTGTGTTTAGGTTTTCATTCACTTAAGAATGTGGAGGTTTTTTACATTTGTAAACTGAGAGAAATTGTGTGATATAGAGGTGCAAGATGGAAATGGGCTGATTCCTGCGCTAATTTTGAAAAGAATGTTCTGAAATAAGCCAAGAAATAGAGAGTAGAAATTGAATGAATAAATTCCTCAATGCAACTTTAGTTTTGTTAAATAAGGTGTAAAAATTGCATGTTCCTTAAATTTTATGCTACCTTGTGGGGGGAAAAAAACCCAGAACTAAAATTCTTACTAATGTTTCTAAGGTATCAGTTTTAATTGATTTTAAACTATAATGTTTGCTTTAAAATTTTTCATTATATAAGGTTCAAAATACACTGAACTATTGGATAACATGAGACTTTTTTTTTTGATTGTTTAGTCTGACGGTTTAGAAACCTGATGTTTGAGACAAGCAGCTTTTTGAAAGTGCATCTCTAAGTCAAACCTATTTTTTAAATGGTTTTCTAAGGCAATTTAAAATATATATATATATATAAATTAAGTCAAATAATTTAAAATATATAGCTAAAGTATACAATTTGGAAAAATGCATGTCAGAAAATGTACAGATATATTTAGCTAACTCGGATATTTTCTTGAAAATAGATTTCTAAGTCAAACTGAAAATACATGTCGAAGTCAGAACACTAAAGAAATATTTTCTGTATGTTACACCATTTAAAATGTTACATATGTTAGTTGGCTATTTAAAATCTTTAAAATGTTGACTATTTAAAATCTTTCTTAGATCATTTAAAATATCCTTGTAGTCAGTTCAGACTATCTAAAAAATAGATTGTGCAATTAAATAAAAATGGTTTGCCTAAGTTAGAATTTTGTTTTAAAATCATACATTTATATATTTTAATTGTGTGCATTAAAAAACACATAACATAAATTTCTGAAGTGTTTTGGTTTGATTTTCAGTTATATTTTCAGCTTGCTTACAGTTGATTCTACAGAAACCATTTTACACACACACACACACACAAAATCAAATATGGCAAGATGTTAACCTGACTAAGTAGAGGGTACAATATTTTCAACTTTTCTGGAAGTTGAAAAAATGTTATAAACATTTTGGGGAAAAAGCCATATCTAACAGTTTTTAAAAGCTCTATTAAATAACTGATGTAATGTTTTTCACTGCATATCTACCTCATAAAATTTTTAAAACCTCATTTCTGACTTGTAAATTTCAAAATCATGTAGCAAATCAAACAAAATTTAAACTGTCAAATTTGAATATGGTCTGGATTTTAGGTGATATTAAGAAATTATTAATTAAAGTAATTATAATTAAATACACTTTTTAGTTTTATTAAAGAAGCCTACTGAAATGTTTAGTATTTGAAATGTCAAAATATCACTTATTTCATATACTTAACCTTCTCCCCCATAATGGAAACAAATAAGGCAAAGTGTTACTAATTATTAAGTCTACTGATGAATATGTGGGTAGGTGCTATACCATGTTACATATTCTTCTGTATGTTTGAAAAATTGTAAGTAAAAACTTAAAACATAAATACCTGTCATGTTAAAAACACAAGTAAAACAATTAACAGACACTTTATATGTATTTATCTAAAACTCAGGTAATTAAAAAAGGAAATAATTCTAGAGCTTAACTTAATTAAAAAATCATGAATTACAATTTCTATTTCCCTAGTTAGAAGAAAATGCTGTAGAAGTTGATTTTGGAGTATGCATTTGTTATCTCACAATTATAAATCACATCCAAAATAATGTTTTTTTTGTTTTTGTTTTTGTTTTAGTTTTAAATCTCAATTTTCACATCCTTATTTTAGGTGAAAATTGATTGTAAAATGTGTGTGTGTGCTTTTGTGTGTGTATTACACACCTCAAAACAAATCACACCTAAAGCCATATCATTCAAAAAATTAATCAGGCATTTTTTGCATACTAGTTTGAGAAAAAACTAGAAGTTGGTGGTTGGCAGTGGTGGGGTTATTGTGCATACCTATACTGCATACCAAAACAGGTTTGTGCAGCATTCAGGCAGATATGTCACAGCTAAGCAGGAATTTAAGGAGAATGTACAGTGACAAAACAAACAAAAAGTCCCAAGGGCCAGAGGGGACCTAAAGGTCGTTTGACCCAATATCCCCTGTGAGATAACCCCTCTGCCTGCCTTCCTTGAGCACGTTCTGTGATGGCGATAGGAAATTCCAGCAGCCAGTCCCTCCACCTCTTTTACTACCCAAAACGTCTTTGCCCACATTAACCCCACGTCAGCCTGTATCTTGCATCCTGTGGTCCTACCTCGGGTTCTGGCTCCAGGGTCTCTGACACGGGAAGCCTCTTCCTTCTGCGTGATAGATAAACCTGCAGCTGGCTCGGCTTTCCCGGCGCGGGCAGCAAGGGGGCCTAGGAATGAAGTCTAGTTTTCCTGTGTGCTTTTTGAAGTTCAGCACCCAGAACTGAGAAAAATTCTGCTTAATTGTGTTCTTGGTTGTGTTGATTTTAGTAAAACTAATTGTTAAAAACGGGGCTAGGGGCAGTTGATTCTTTTAGACTATCAGCAAAATAACAGCTGTGGGCATTTCTCATTCATTCTGTTTTGGCCTCAGTTTTGGATGCCCCATCACGGTCATGCCTCAGGGCAGTAGGAAATACAGGCAGGCGTGCTGGACTCTTAAGTCTGGGAATTTAGGGCCAGGTCTCACTGTGAGGCTGTCTGAAAATTAGGCCTTCAGGCAAGCTTTTAATCTCTTCTGACATCTTTTGCCTTACTTGTAAATTGAGGGTTTGAGTTAGGTGATACCTAGTGGCCTTGTGGGTTCCATGATGCTTTCTTAAATTCTGTTTTAATACGTTGTTTCTCCTGACCAAGGAGGCAGCCTTAGCTTTATTCTGAAAAGGAGAAAAACATAGTCAGCAACATCGCCCGGCCTGTCTGTCCCATGTTACCGCAGAAATCCTTAGGAGTAGGTCCAATAACTGTGGAGAAATAACTTTGACATTATATCTGCCAAATGCAGATTTAAAGCAGTTCTTCATTCAGGCAGTTTCAGGCAGCTTAGCTTTGAGAAGCTGAAATGAAATTACAGCGTTAAATAATCATTCCAAAAAAATGTGTAAAGTCTTAAACGAATGAATGAAAAGTAGATGTTAAGTTGCTGTTCTGATCTGATGAGGTGCTGCTGTGTGACTTGTTGTGATTCCCTTTGATCTCCTGGAATAGATCTTATAGAGGGATCTGAGCTGCTTTGTTAGTGTTTACAGTCTAATCTGTTCTCTGCTTTAAAATAATGCACAATCTATAAATGGAAGCTGGAGTTAATTGGTCTTAGATTAGTTTGAAAGTAGCACATTATTTTTAATAAAACATGGTGTTCTTTAGGGGGGAAGAAACAACTGAGGATTAACTACTGTTATAAGAAACCCGAGGTCCTTCTTCAGTCTTGACTATAATATTAGCTAAGATTTATTGAGAGCTTACTACATCCCTGGCGCTGGGCTTTGCCCTTCCTGTGTGCAACCTCATTTCATCCTCACAGAGCTGTATCTAAAAAGGAACTGCTTTCTTTCATGATACAGATCCGGAGACTGAGGTTTCGAGGAGTCAGGAAATTTGCCCAGTGTTGCCCACCTAGCGTGTCGGGGAGCTGGGATGGGACCTCGGGCCCCAGAACCCTGGCTACCTGCTGGCCCCGTAGCGCTGCCTCCTTTCCGGGACTTGCGCTGCAGTCCTGAAGAATGAAGAACCCATGAAACATCTTTTTTCTTACAGTAGGATTGCGCTTTCTTTATTTCACTTTACAACCATACGTAGTCAGTTTTAACTTACATATTGAACATTCTAAGTTTTAGTCCATGCTGAGTCTGTTGGAAAATTAGTTCTCTGTCTTTAGAATCCAAGTATGAAATCATTGTATATTTCTCTTTAGATCTATTTGCTTTTCTGCTTCTAAAGATTCCATTTGAGCAGAGAGGCTTACTTGAGAATAAGGGTACTTTGTTGGATAAAAGTGAAGCAAACTTTTATTTTGGCAGTAATGCAAATAAAGTAAATATCACTATAGCATAGACCTGTATTTCCAACTCATTTTGCTCAACTTTTCCAGACTTCCTGAGTAAACACAGATGGGTTTCCACTTATTTTTCAGTTTTATGTAGAAAGTTCTGTAGACTATAAATTCCACTTGCTACTTGGAGTTTTCAGTATTTGCTTGATTGTATGCCATTGGCAGGTCACAATCCTCGATTGAGACGGTAGTGATGTGCAGTACCGTGTTTGCGTTCAGCTGTAGTTTGGTTTTTCCTGATGGTAACCCTAAATGTTTTAATTCAGGTCTTGACAACATTTTCTGGTAATTTGGTGGCAGGGGGAGTTTTGAAAGCCTTTTGTTTTTAAGTAGCAAAATGGGGGTGGGGAGATGCTCTTCAAAAAGATGACTTTCTGAATTTAGTTCCCGGTGTGTTGTGAGTAGCTTCCTATCACTGGTAACTCCCTAAGTTGTTACTAAAATTAGGGAGACTGAAGGTGGGGTGGAAAGAGGCTTGAACACCTGGGTCTGTGCCCGTCAGCCGTTGACAAGCTCTGGGGCTTCAGGGAAAGGGATCCATATATTCTGAAGTGTGGTCTCCCTATTTGTGGAAAAAAAAAAAGAGTCATATCTAGCCTATGGTTCTGATTTCCCCTCTTATCAACTAATAATTGCAGAAACCAAAAGATCAGGCTGTGTGCTGAGTTAATAACCCGAGAGGACAGGCTCATGTGTAGCAGAGATCTTAACCATGGTTTGCAGTGACACTTTGTCCAAGGGTGAGATGTCAAGGAGCCTCTGTAGAACAGGCAGATGTGCAGACTGAGACAATGAATTAGGAGTTTTGCTTTGTGTCTTGTTTCATAAATAAAAACACTTCAGTGTGGAAATGTTAAGCTTCTAAAAAAGTAAGGTTTTCTTTTTTTTTTTCTTTTTAAAGTAAAAGGTGATAACTCAGATTTCCATTTGACACCATCTTCTCTATTAATATCTTCCAGTACTACTGTTATGTCTGGGTGTGTATATAAATATAGTTCTCTTGCTCTCAGAGCAATTTGTAGAAGGAACGGAGAGTCTTTTTAGCTTTCTGTAATGTCAGATAATTAAATTTTTACGTGGAGGAATGTTGTGTGATTACACTGTTATTGCTGTCATTATTTAATAATATTTTGGCCCTGATAGACCAGTTGCATTTGCACTATTAATTTTTAAATAAGGAAGTTATTTTTTTACTTTCTAAATTTACTGCTAAGCAGGAAAAAAGCCAACACAATTGATTATTGAAATTCACCACTAATTATTTCAGTGATCAATATTGTTTAAAAAAAAGAAAAAAAACCTACTTGTTCAGATTATCTCTCCTTAGTAAATGTCTGTTCAGAAGATAGAGTTCCACGTTGATCGAAAAAAGAGCCTTTAGCTTTAAATTGAAACTTAATCCTCTTCCTGTCGGTGCTTCTTCCTTCCTACTCTCCCTTAAAAAAAAAACAAAAACAAAACCCTCTCCTTACCTTTGGTTTTGTTTTGTTTTGTTTGTTTACTTTTTTATAATAGCCTTATAAATAATTCTGTGCCTTCTAGACCAGTAATAACACATGCCAAGCAAATGGAAAGAGTTTTTCTTTTCTTTGACCACCTGTGTCTCTCTCCGGGGAAGAGTGGTTTCTCGGCTTGCATATTACCACGGAGAATGCCGGTGTCTGCGGGATTTAATTTGTAGAGACCTTACATATGTGGTCACTCAAATATTATCTGAATACAACCATAGACAGTTTTTGTGGGTTGTTCATTTGCTAATTCTGCCGCATTTGCAGGGCTGATTTGCATGTTCAAATGTGCATTTGACATGGTAAAACTACATTTTAGCTTTGCTCTTATTTTATCTTCCTAAGGAAAATTTAGAATGTTGTATATAGTATTTGATGTTTATGAAACAGATTAGCATTATATTTTAGTGGAACTAAAGCAAGTGTGTTATTTGTTTCTATTGTATTTTAATTTTTACAACTATTTATTGTTTCCTATCTCATTTACCAAAACAATAATCATAGTAAATAAAAATAAAAACCACATATTACTATAGTTTTTTTTTTAAAGGAATAATCAGAAGGGGGAGTTTTTTTAAATGCCTTGGTTAGTGGATCTTTATTTTTAGTCAACTTTAGAGTCGCTTAAAATCCCAGTGTTTTCTCAACTGACCATACCTTATCTTGTCTGTCTGTCCCCACCCTCTTTCTCTTTGCTCTCCCTAACTGCATGGGACTGATGGAAACATCTCTCTTCAGGAGCTGGATGAGGTATTGTGTTTTGAATATTTTTGTATGTTAGCTTATAAAGTTATGCCTGTTTTTCTGAAGTTTTTGGTCCTATGGAAAATGCCAACAGAGTTTACACATGTTTTAGCGTTTGTTTGGATTGTTTATAATTGTCACATTTAACAATTTTAACTTAGGCTTTATTTAACGTGTTTTCACACGAGAGGAACTGATGATTTAGAGGAGGCTTGGGAACGTTGTTTACTACTCTTGGGAAAATGTGTCAACTTTGGAAATAGTAAAGGTTGAACATTTACTTGAACTTAAAGTAAGCCAGATTTTTTTTAGGATTATGCATATAGCTCCCTTGAAGTATGTGAAAAGACATGATGTCTGGTGAAAGCACTAAGGAAGTAGGACTTGGAGCCAGCCGACCTGTGGAGGTGCCACTGGGACGCCCAGGTGACCCTCTGTTAGTGCTGACTGACTGGTGGTACGTGGCCCCCTTCCTAGCAGCTCACCTTGGCGTTTTCATTACTTATTAGCACTTCTCCCAGAAGATGGAGAGAGTACATGTTCACGTCACTTTATTGAGCAGCACTGATACCGGGCTGGCAAAAAAAAGGAGATTGCACTGTGATGGGCAGTTTTGTGTTTCTGTTATCTGTTTCAGCCATGAAGGGTTTGAAAATATTTTTCCTTAGGGTAGACCCTTTTTTAAAAGCCCTTTTTAAAAACTTGGGGGCTGGGAGGATGTCATTTGTTTTTACTCTAATTTAAAAGTAGGAACAGTGAGGTGGGATGAGGGTCACTGTCTTTAAAACCTGTGGGATTCCTAACTAGTTGATAATACAGAGGGGGAACACCTAAACATCCTTCACTGAGAACTGGTTAAGTAACTTCTATAGCATCTCAAATTCTCTGTGCCTGTTAGAAAGAGTGCAGTCTGTCTCTGGGCTGCAGTAGAATGAGTGACACCTTCCAGGAAGGGTCTGGGATGGAAGGGAAACTTTGTCTTGCAAACCCTTTTCTTAGTTTGGTTATGTATGTTTTTAAACCATGGGCATCTATTACTTGTGTCATTAAAAAACAATTCGTGTTCAGAAACAAACCCTTAGCCAGTGGCCGCTGGAGCCAGGTGCCGCGGCGTGCCTGACTAAGACCCCTCGGTCCTGCGCCGGCCGGACCCCTCGTCACGCCCCTGCTGTGTGCGTGGGGCTCAGCGAGCAGGCCTCACTTGGGCATCACCGTCACTCCTTACTGAACAGTTTGGAAGCACATGGCTTGTGGCCCCAGAAAGGAAGTGTCCACGGGAGAGCCAGCAGCAGAGCAGCTTAGGGTGAGGAAGGATTTCGGATGCTTCCCCCACTGGGGGCCTGTCGGGGGTCATCGGTACTGAGGGGCCTGCCATCTGAACCAGCTTCCTATCTTGCCTCCTTCCTCCTCAGGCAGCAAGTTCCAGAAACTGGCTCCCCACGGAAGTTTACAGTGTGGTGTCTCAGCTTGGAGGGGTCTCCAGGTTCTGTTAGCAGAGACCCCGAGGGGAGAGCCCCTCTCTGCCACACACACTCCCATGCTGGGAGAGCTCTCTGAGCCCCGCATCCAACCTCTCCGTCCTGCGTCCATGCGGCCACCTCACCCCCTCGAGCACTTCACTTGTCCCTTCTTGTCCTTTGTCCGGAACCAGTCTATCTTCTATGACGTGAATGGTACATGACATGTGTTATATTTACTTCATTCATTTATGCATTCATTCATTGCATCCTTTTACTGTTGACTTGGCCAGCTGATTACAGCTGCATATTTATTACTGCTAAGTGCCAGGTGCTGAGTTAGAAGCTGGGCCTGTGTTGGGAATGGTGTCCAGAGCCATGCTTTGTCAAGGCTGCAGCAGGGCTTCAACGCAGTGTCTTCTGGGAGTGGTAGACGTGACCTCAGCTCCCAGCGTGGGTCACATGGATGCCTACCCCTTCACAGGTGAGGCCTGAGCAGATTTTGCTGACGGCATCACTGGGGCCTCTCAGAGTAAAACAGCTGGTGGCTTCCTGCAGCATGGCCACGTTAGCTTGTTATTCTCCTTCTCAGACCAGCTCACAAATCCGCACCCTGGGGATACCAGTCTCTATTCTTCTCCAGAAATAAGAAGTAAGGTGTCCCCAAAGAGGAACCCCCGACCACTCACTCTCTGGTGCAGCGTCTGGCCCTCTCCTTTGTTCTCTGCTCCAGTCTACTCCCCACCGAGGACAAAGTCATCTCCCACGTGGTTAGGGTTTTAAATTCATAATAGGAAGTATTAAAAAAATTACAAGCTATAAATGTCAAGCTCCCAAAGCACATAACTTGGGGAGGGCAGGGCGCAACAGCAGGGCCCCGAGGGCCGCAAGCTGGCTTACCTCGCTGAGGGCAGCCTCGAGAAAGCCTCTGGACCTCTCAGTGTCCCTGTTTCTAAAACAGGGAGCAGTCCTCTCTGAAGGTTTGTCGTGGGGCTAACATGATCGTGGTGCGGAAGTGTAGTACCAACGGGACCATTAATTTGTGTTTTAAGGGTGTGTGTAAGAACTGAGAAAAAAAAGAAACCAGTGAAACTAGCAACCTTTATATCTAGGCAGTCTGATTGTCGGGTTTTATATTTCTATCTTTTTACACATTTAAAAAGTGTCTATTTTGAACATTTATTGTTTCATAATCAAAAAGTAAACCCTATTTTTCAGCTATCATGGATTTAAAAAAAAACAGACCTGTAGTGCTGACAGCCCCTGATTCCCTCTTATTGCAACATTCTCATCTACTCCCTGGAAGAGCAGATTTCTTGAGCCTAATTGTCTGTTAGTGAAGTCGACGAGCCTTGTGAGCCCACCGAGTTATGCTGTGGCCCGACTTCATCATCCACCCTCCACAGTGTCTCAGGTGGAAGCCAGAGCTGCCAGGCTGTAATTCTCAATGTCCCTTCTGGACTTTTTTAAATGTTCACAGCCACAGACAATCCAGAATTGTCAGGATTGTTTCTTATTATTAGCAATGCATTATGGCTGAAGTTAGTTTATTTTTTTTAGATGGGGTGTGTGTGTACTCCTGACTTCTCTAATCTGTACAGAGGCTTTGCCATTTCCTTAATCTTATGGTACACTAAATCAGCCTTCTCGTAAATGCAGGGTTTTATAAGAGTAGGAAGGCGTACGTTTGGAACAGCAAGATTTATGAGGCTGTGTTCGTGTGTGTGTGTTCCGTCCATAGAACAGCACTTGTCTGTACTGACTGGTTCTCTTTAAAAGGACAAATGTCAGTGTCTAACGTGGATCAAGGGCAAAAGATAACTTTAGTGAGACGAACGAGAAGCCTTTGTGTGTGCTGCTTTGAGCATCCGTTGGCAGTCTCCCGCATTGATGCATCTGAGCTGGCTGAGCTGGGTGAGGGTAGCATCCCTCTAGTTCTTGGGCGACAAGGGCTACCAATCAGAGAGACAAGAACCCTTACATTCTTAATTCTCATGAGTGCAGTTTTATAAAATAGTTTTTGTCTTACTTGAAAAATATGGAAAGATTTTTTTACTTTAGAGGCACAAGTTCATTTAAGAAAAGCTTTGATGACCAGCATCATATATTCAGAGAGGGGAACTCAGTTGAAATCGAGCAAGAACGAGTAGAGAGAATTAAAAATCTGGCAGTTTTTTCAGGTCTGTATTGCCTTGGGTGGCAACTTCAAAACCGATTTATTTTGGATCTTAAAAATAAAACATGTTGAAATGGGAAGTGAGGTTTCTAAAGTTGAAAGGGTGATTGTTTTGCCCTTTAAATGTATTATTTATGTTTATATTTGTTCCCATTTCAGATAATTGACTTTAATCTTCAGTTATGTTTTTCCTTCCCAAAACATACAGTCTTTAAAAAAAAAAGTGCATACTGTGATACGTACCAGAACTCCACACTGATAAAGTAAATGACACCTTTCTTCTGAGTGAGGCCGCGTTTCTTTATCATGTTGAGCTGTTGCTATAGATGATGTCCTAATGAGGACAAATTACGCCCTGTTTAAGAGTTTTCAGTCCTAAAGAATCAGCTGTTCTATCTCATTGGCAAAATGCTAATACAGTGTGCGGGAAAGCTGGGGCCGGCTGGAGGAGCTGGCATCTGTCCCCTTCACGTGGGGACCTCCTAGTTAGCAAGCTTCCTTGGTGTGTTCGCACACTCTTTACATGCTTTTTGTGGGGCGGGACCTGTCTATTGTGTAAAATTAAGTACTGCTTAAAGAGTTGAATCCACCTCAACTGACTTTTTGTATGTTATTCATAATTTCCCATTTGTTTCAGATAAATTGATACTAATTACTATGCAGATAAATTTAGGTAAATACCATCTCTGTATCTTTTTTAGTGTAATGTATGTTGGTAAACCAAAAAAACTACAAAATAAGATCATGAATTTAAAAACTATAAATAAAACAAGTTACTGTTACTACTTTATTGAAGTTGGTGTAATAATAAAATGTAGTAGATTAGAGAATAAGCTGGCAGAGCAGAGACTCTGTGACCCACAGGTCTTGCTTTGTATGAGCAGCTGGAGACTGAAGCTCAGGCTCTGCTCCACTCAGGCAGCAGCTCTGCGTCCAGGGCCTGCTGCACGGCCGGCCTGGAGGTGCTGGGAGCTGGGCATGTGGCTTGTCCCTTCTGGTTCAGGCATCATCCCCTCCTCAGAGCTGCTGCCTCCGGGTGACTTTGGAGCAGGAGTTCCCAGGAACACACAGCCATGCCTGTTCCTGCCGTGCGGGGTGAGGGCTGCGCCTGCAGCTGGTCCTCAGAGGCCGCTGTGTTGCTGGCCTGTGTGTGTGCTCAGCCCCAGCCAGCCCTGGGGTCCTGGGGGCAGTTGGAGGGGAGTGGGTCAGAGGGCTCCGTTTCGTGTGGTGGTTTTAATCTCAGAGCTTGTTGTCCTGATTTGTTTCCGTAGCAAATTGCAGTTATATTTCACAGGCCTGCCAAAGTGATTGGCAGCTAGTGCAGTGGACGGGGCTCCTGGCGCCAGCTGCCCCAGGTTTTAATCTGTCACGTAATAGCTTTGTGACCTTGGGCAAGCTACTTAACTTTTCTGGGTTTCAGTTTCCTCATGTATAGATTGGAATACGAATTCCTAGCTCCCTTAGTTTTTGTGAGGATTAAAATAATAACAAGAAGGTAAAATTCCTGTTAGTGAACTCTTAAAAACAAACAGGGTGGCGCTGGTTGAGAAGGAGCAGGTCACTGATGCAGAGCCCCCGATAGCACAGGTTGGATGACGCACCATTTGTCCAAGCCCTGAAATGACACGGGGCCTGCAGGGTCCACGCGGCGCTGGAGCGCGCTGGCCTGTCACGACTCCCCGCCGCTCTGGGAGCAGTTGCATGGCTGCTGGTCCCACCAGCGTGGTCCTTGTGTAGGATGCGCTGGCTGGGTGCGCAGCGCCCCGAGCCAGTAGGGGCAGCACCGCCCCGGGCGTGATGCCAGTGCGTGTGCAGGACTCCAGGCTGCTTTTAGCAACTGTGCTGTCCTCTCTGCTCAGGATTTCAGGCTTATTACTGGAAGAAATCTTTCAATTTAGGTTTTTCCTTATGTGATAGTTCTCCCCCTTCGTCTGAGGGTTTTTTACAAATTTTGCCTTGTTCCTTGTTTGTTAGGAAAGCAAACAAGTCTTTGCTGAATGCGTGAAAAAAATAAATTTAGGGAAATGCAGGGAGTAGGGAAGAAAAGCAATATAAATTCTTCACCAATTCTGTGGGGTGACTTAGAAAATGTGCAAAGTATTGCCTATAAAGGACTTTTATATGCTGTTTTCCATTATTTTTTGATCATCATTTGGATCTTTTGAAACTGGCATTTATAAATTCTGAGCTCGGGAGGGTACCTCCAGATTCTTTCAACCATTCACTGCCTCCAGGCCAGAGAACAGTTTAATGAAGCCAAACCCATGATTTCCCTCCCCTTCTTAAGAGCTTACTAAGGCAGTGTATTATATAGGTAAAATAAACAAGAACTGTTGATATCAGTTCAGAATAAGTGAGAATGTTGCCTGTGGACATTTAACCAAAAAAAGGAAACGACAGTGTGAATTTAAGATTGTAGTGAGATTTTAATGCTTGCTTTTGCCAAGTGGTGGATAGTTTCCCGACTGTTTTAGGCACTTCTTCGATACATTTTAGCACATGGTTAATGATCCTGTGACTTAGATAACTGGATCAGCCCTATTTACAAAATAAGTTAAATGTGTATAGAGGAAACCTTGAAATTTTTGTATTGGTTGCATTTACCGCCTAGAATTTTTTTTAACTTGTGTCTGTCTGGTCATATTAATCACTGAGGTCCATGCCATTCTATCATAGCACTAGTACTAAGAGGGTTTTCTTTTAAGGATCTTTTGTTGACTCTTTCATTACATTGCCATGGCCAGATCAAGTCACATTCATGTTCACAAGTTTGTCCAAGGAAATTAAGAAGTGGTGCATGAAAATATAGGAAAATAGTTCCCAATCCTAGCAGTGTCAAAAGCAAGTTTATGATACAGGCAAGTGCGCGCACTCCTCCGTTTCTGTGTCTTCTCAGGGAGCGATGTTTAAAAGGGAGTGAGAGTGCGTGTATCTGAATTGACTGAGTAATTTTTTTAATGTCCCTTTATTTTCCTGTAGCTCGCTGATGATCGCATGGCTCTGGTGTCAGGCATTAGCTTAGACCCAGAAGCAGCAATTGGTGTGACAAAGCGCTCACCTCCTAAATGGGTGGACGGCGTGGATGAAGTAAGTTGAATGTTAGTTTCACACTCTTATTTATTGACGTAATTATGACAGTAGCATATTTTAAGACGTCTGCATAAAGACTGATTTGGCTATACCTGGATGCGTGTCCCTGGAAGTGCTTTAGCGTTAGGGTTGTTCAGTACACAGCACAAGAAGCGGGGGAGGGGTGCCTGTGTGTGCGTGCTAGTGGTTTTTGGCTTTAGCAGTAACTATGTGAAATTTAGAAAGCAATCAGAGAACTGTGTGACAAGGAGGAGTGGTGCTGGAATTGCTGGTTGTTTGAATTAAAAGTTGCTCAGGCATGGACGACCCTACATGTTGGCTGAAGACTGAAGTGTGTACTCTGAGTGCAGCTGATTGTCCCAGAGGCAGACAGACCCCTGGCAGACATCAGTGGAGTTCTGTGATTTCATTTGTTTAGATACAGTACGATGTTGGCCGGATTAAACAGAAAATGAAGGAATTAGCCAGCCTTCATGACCAGCATCTAAACAGACCCACCCTGGATGACAGCAGCGAGCAGGAGCATGCCATTGAAATAACCACGCAAGAGATCACTCAGGTGAGGACAGAAGTGGATCCCCTGGCAGGAACCCACATTTCCCCGCCTTCTCACGACCTTGTCGTTGGAAGCCCCAGGGTGGTACAAGTCTGAGTCAGATTGCCAATCAGTCCTGGAGTGTCACTGCCCAGCCTGAAGTTCACAGAGGGATTCCAGGAGGCCCTGAGCTCCCCTACATTTCAGTCTTGGAGGAGTGGGGACGGTTTTTCAACTGTCTGTATTGACTACTGTGAATTGATTTAAAAATTACGTTAGGAACATTACTGAGTTCAGTCATTTGATTTTAAAATATATAACGTCCATTGCATACTAGTGCTCACAATTTTTTCATGTTAAAAAATAGTACTTGTCATTAAAAAGATGGAGCTGTTGCCCTAGACAGAGTAGATTAGAGTCCTAGAGAAGCTCAGCGTCCTAGAAATATTTCTTGTAAAATGTTAAATTTGAATAATTTAAAAATAATACTAGCAAACTAGCACTTACAGTCTTCGTTTGTTAAGCTCTCCCAGGTGGCTGATGAACAGAAGGGGTGTGGGGGGCGGGAGGGCCCTGAGATGTGGGGTGTTTGCATCCTGGCTTTTATCGATGGACTACAGCAGGCTTCTCATTTAACTGCTCTGACTCCAGTGTCCTGGTCTGTAAAACGGGATACTTCTCGGGGCGCTCGCAGGGGTCAGATGAGAATGCGGCCGCGGGGAGTGATACTGGTTCCGTAGCACAGCGACACGTGTGCACAGTGCGCACCTATTCCAGGTTTACTCAGTCTCGGGTCGCGTCGCCGTTGTCAGCGCCGCCCAGCTGGACAGGGCCCTTTGCCGTCCCGCTCAGACTGGCGAGCACAGAGGCAGGGCCGGGTGCGGGACGTCCTCCCCGGCCTGCCGTGAGCCGCGCCCCTTCTCCCAGCTCTTCCACAGGTGCCAGCGTGCAGTGCAGGCTCTGCCCAGCCGGGCCCGCAGGGCCTGCTCGGAGCAGGAGGAGCGGCTCCTTCGCAACGTGGTGGCCTCCCTGGCGCAGGCTCTGCAGGAGCTGTCCACCGGCTTCCGGCTCGCGCAGTCCGGCTACCTCAAACGTGAGTGCGGGAGTTCCAGCGCTCGAACTGCAGAACCATTTTTTGTGTTTTTATCTTTTCCTGCTCCCAGTTGTCCATTTCGTCCTGTACCTTTCGCTGTCAGCTTTTGAGCACGTCCGTGGCTCATAGAACAAGAGAAGCTCCCTTCCACCCCCAGTGTGAAACCCGGCCAGACTGAAGCCGAGGACAGGCTGTCAAAGCAGTTCACATCTGAAAAAACAAAACAAAAACTTCCTCTGTGTCAGGCGTAAGGAATTTGAAAATCCATCTAGCACATTTAAAAAATGTGTCGCTTTCTAGGTTGGGGTTTGGGGGAGCTGGTGATAAATAGGTAAAAAGCTGTAATCACACGAAGGCTTCATATTTGGTGATAAGGGAGGATTCTGAGAGCGCCTGAACTTCGTGCTGGGGGAGTCTGAGCATCCCTACTGGCACTAGTGACTTCTCAGCCGACTTTTCCTCCCTGAAGAGCGCAGAGGCTGCTTTCAGCCACACCCTTGTTCTGGTTTCCCTGTATACGGGGCTTTTCTTTCTTGCCATGGTAATCAGTAAAATCCTCCACATACTTCACAGAAAAGCTAGTTCTCCCTCCTTCTGACAACTGGCATATTTGTATTTTAATTTTATTACTTGTAAAATTTGATTAAGGCCATTTGGAATTCTTACTGGAGGTGCTTCTAGAGAGGTATATTGATTTCTTTTAATGTTTTGTAACAGCAGTTAGATCAGATATTTCTGCTTCACTTAGACTCTCAGATCGTTGTGTCATTTTGCCATTCACTCGGCATCCAGTGAACTGTGCACATTTACCGTGTGACTGTGTCTTGAATGCCCCCACGCATTCGCAGACTGCTGCATGTCTACAGTCCTTCACTCTCCACCCCCACCTCTGTTGGAGATGAGATTGGGCTTCTTTTTAAAGCTGCTAAGAATATCTCCATTTTGACTGTTGAGTTTTACTCTAGATTTCCCCCTTTTAATGGTGGAACAGTAACCAGGATGGTTTACGTATTCGAGTAAAGTGCACTCCTATCCATGATAGGCATGAAGAACCGAGAGGAGAGATCCCAGCACTTTTTTGCCACATCAGTACCACTGATGGATGATGGAGATGATAATACTCTCTATGATCGGGTACGTGGAGGGGCCGCCGGGCCTTGTGCTCCATTCTGTTTCCTTCTCCTCGTGGACCTTTCGCTTCCGTGCAGTGCAGACGGCCCGGCGCTGCGTGACTTGTGCGTCGGTCGAGGGGCTTTTGCAGCAGGTGGAAGAGCGGTCATGGGGCCCATACTGTTTCTTCCTTTCCAGAGGCTACAGGGAGACCTTGTAATCTGCCTTCCAGAACCTTCCGGAAAGCAGTCTGCACACGCCACTCCTGGGAAGAACCCAGAGACATGCAGGCTTCTCCCCAGTGGCTCTCATGTAGCTGCAGATGTGGGGTTCTCTGTGTCCCTGTGTCCCCTGCTTTGGTCCATTCTGCTCGAGAGCCCGCTTGTTTGGGGAATTTGAATCTTTCCTGTTAGGGGAAAATAAGTGCTTTTATGTTGTTTATGTGCTTTATAGAAATATTTTCAGAATTCATTTTCTTTGAATTGTAACTAAAATGGTATGCCGCAGCTTTCTTGAGGGGGAAGGAACTCTTAACATGTACATTTTGTACTTTTTGTCTCGCTAGGGTTTCACTGACGACCAGTTAGTGCTGGTGGAGCAGAACACACTGATGGTGGAGGAGAGGGAGCGGGAGATCCGCCAGATCGTGCAGTCCATTTCCGACCTGAATGAGATATTCCGGGACCTGGGGGCGATGATTGTAGAGCAGGTGTGTGCGCGCACCTGCCTCGGCAGCGCGTTTTCCTGCCAGAATAGCTGGTCCTTCTCCAAAATGTTTAATTCTGCACTTTTGTCAGGGAAAACTGTGATTCTGCTCCTCCAGTGCCAGTGTGTGTGTACAAATGACACGCATGCAGTGTTGTCGCTCCCTGTCAGAGCGCTAATAAGCCTCTATTCAGGTAAGAAGTCACTGGCGTGGAGGTTCTTCTGTCCCTGCTCTGCCCCAGGCGTGTTCGGGGTGGGGGCGCCCTGCCCCGCCTGCCCACGCGCAGCGCTGTCTCTGGCGCTAGATAAGGCTTCCCTTCTGATTTTGGCAGGTTATTGTGTGACGACAACTGGAAACACTAGCTTTCAAGTAGAATTAAATTGTTTGTTCACTGTTACAATCTGATTAGGGTGTTTTATTATCTTGCCGGCAGGGATTTGGGTCCTGATCCCCCTGAAACCAGCCGCAGAACAGAGTGTCGAGGCCGTGGAAGATCTAGTTACAATAATTACCGGCGCGCAGCTCCCAGGGAAGCGCTCTCGCCATCTCTGCTGACACAGCGCGTTTTCACGCAGAGCCCCACTCTTCCACGCAACCCCGTGTTCCATTCTTTCTCTTTGAACCAAGAGATTAAACAAGAACAAAATTCTCCCTGAGGTAGAAGTGTAGTTTCACACGGTGGTTTGGAGCATACTGTCATGGCTGTGACCTGTGGAGACCTGTGTTGACGTTTACAGATGTGACAGTCAACTTCCAGGCCTAACCGCAGCTGGGCCAAGCTTAACCGGCCTCCTCTGCTTACTTGAGTCCGAGTGTTTAAGCAACAGACGGGCGCAGAAGCCAGCCCTTGGCTGCTCAGAGCCTGTTCCCACCGAACTGTGTATTTTTAGAGCCCCAATAAGTCTGAGTATGGCATATCCTATAGTAGCTAAATCCAGAATAGAAACCTCAGTTATCAGTATTTCTTTGTCATGAGCTAGACTCTGTTGTGACTGCCGTGGGTGGCACTTCGCCATCGGTGCCTGATGCTGCTTGGTGGAGGGTCCCAGAGCGTTTGGTGTGCACCTTTACAGCACAGTTAAGTGAAACAGAGCATCCCATGGAGAGCAGTGTCTGCAGTTTGCCTCTCTCGCTTCTGAAGTGTGTTTCTCCCTGTTTGGTTGTTGATTGTCTGTCCCTGTCACTTGTCACTCAGGGTACCGTCCTTGATAGAATTGACTATCACGTTGAGCAGTCCTGCATCAAAACTGAAGACGGTCTGAAACAGCTTCACAAGGTAATGCCATCTCTTTCAGTAGTTGGGAACTTGAGGAACTGTGGTCAGATATCAGGAATTCCCAAGAAACTTCTCTTCCGTCATCGCTGTCTTCAGCTCTGTCTGCCGTCAGCCATCAAGATAGGGCTGTAAAAATGTACGGTATCGGTTTATTCAGAGCCAGCCCCGTGAGTTGTGGCTATTTGACTGCAGTTGACGATTCTAGGTGCACCTCATACTTAGATTTGACACTGCTGAGAACTCCCTTCTGTGACAGTCAATTGTAAAGAAATTAGGGTTTTCTTTTTTCTTTCCTTTAGAAAATATTCTATTCCTCGAGTCTTCTTGTTTTAGGAAATCAATCGCAGGGGCATTTGCTAAAATATGTGTTGATGTGTCTGCTTGTTGCTGCTGACTCAGGCCTTGCTCGTTGTGACGCTTTTCTGATGAGTGGCTGGTGGAGACTCAGTCTGGAGAAGGTGAAAATCTAATTTTTGCTTTTAATTACCACAGTGTATCTGTGCACTACCTTGAGGAAGGAGTGGCTTGTTGGCATGAGGGTATTAGCTCTCTTATTCTCTGCTGATAAGGTGGCTATTTCAGGAATGCTTTCTATAATATTTGTTTAAAAAATAAATGGAAAACATCTTAAAAATCTTGCAATCAGTTGTGAGAAACATACACATGCGGCTGAGTGGCTCTCATATATAATTTGGAGCATGTTTTCTTTAAAAGGAGTGTAACACTTCACAAGTGAAATAAATCCTGTCCATTTCCACGTGTCCTTGAGACCCAGGGGTATTTCTAGCCATGTAGTGGTCACTCTTCCGACTCACTGATGTGCTGGCAGTGAGACTCCAGCATGCGCTGGGAAAGGGAAGGCCGGCCTCATCTATGCAGAGGGCTTTTTAAGCATGAGATTCATTTAGTTGCCAAGCCTTAAAAGAGGGAAAACTAACTTTTAGTTTCTCACTCTGTAATACCCAGGTTTTCATATGCTGTTGAATTATGCATTGGTTTTGAAGTTTCTTAAATAAAAACTAGCAAAACATGTTTTGTAATATAACACAGATGAAGGGAAAAGCTCTCTCCGTGAGAGTGTACAAATCTAGCGGGAACGAAAAATTCTGTTTCAGGTTCTACGTTATACATCATTTTGAGAGGTTTTAAAGTCTGTCGTCTGGCGTTGGCGTCCCTGGTGCCGTGGGCTACTTACTAGAACAGAGCACGCGCCGTCCGATCACTCAGGGCACGTTGCTTGGTGGCGCGGCTGGCCGTCTCCTTGGCAGTTGGCTCATCCAAGGACGCGTGAGCCTAGGGAGTTGCTCGCACCGGCTGGACTCTGCAGACAGTTCACCTGTCTGTCCCAGTGTTTCCTCCCGCTGCTGAGCGCTTCCTGGGGGAGCAGGCTTGCTGAGGAAACAGAAGTACCGGTCAGAAGGTTGGTGGGGAACGGGGAAGTAGGCCAGAGGTTGGCTGCTCTTAGCAGGTGTTCCCACGAAGCTGTCTCCTCCTTGGCCTTCGCTGCCAAGGAGCGGGTCAGTGAAAGGGCAGGACGTGCTCTCCCTGGGCATGGTCACCCGCACGACTCTCCTCCCCACTCTCCTTTCCCGGGGCCACGTCTCTGCCCGACAGGCACGCGTGTCACAGAAGCACAGGGAGAATTCACCCCAGGTGGGCACTCTCTGTATTTCACCCCACGGGCCGAGCTTTCCTATTTCTATCTCAGAGGGTGAATTTTGTCTTGTTTCCAAATTCAGAGGAGGTAGAAAACAAGCTTTTTGGGGGCTGTCAGTTCCATACCTTCTATCTGTGGTCTCTCTAGCCAGTTGCTTGATTTCTTCATGAAGGAGGTGTGTGTTCATCCTAAGAACTGTGTCCAGAAGCAGGAGGCTTCTACTGGGAGGGTGGGTCACGGCAGTCAGCAGCAGCAGAAGTGAGGAGACGCGGTCCGTGTGGACCCCAGGGCAGAACCTTTGGCCTCTCTTGCCAGCCTTTGTGTGATGGCAGGTCCCAAACATGTGCTTTAGTGAATCTGGTAAATAGGGGCTCCGGGATCCTGGAACTCGTATGGATTGCACACACTTGAACTGTGGAGAGGCTGTGATGGTGGGCCTGTGACAGAGGTGTCGGTGTGGAGGTGAGACCGAAGCCTAGCCCTGGAAACGAGCGAGACTTGAGAATTGATTTTGGGGAAAATGACGGCCTTTTTTCCCTCCTCTTTCTGTAGGCAGAGCAGTATCAAAAGAAGAATCGGAAGATGCTTGTGATTTTAATATTATTTGTCATCATCATTGTCCTCATTGTTGTCCTCGTCGGCGTGAAGTCTCGCTGAGCAGCGTGGGGTCGGTGGCGCGGCCCGCGTGGATCCGGGTTTGAGGGCTCGACGTGCGGGCTGCCTGCGGGGATGCAGCCCTGGGACCAGTTGGGGCAGCGGGCGTTTCCACGGACTCTTCGTCATAGTCATGCTCAAGCCAGGGGCGTGGGCTTCTGTTTTCCCTTCACTGTCAAGCGTTTGAGGACCGTGGATACTGCTGCCGAATAGAGATGAGTGCTCTCCTCGGTTGTAATACATAGATATTTTTTTAGAGCAAATGTGAGCTGAGCGTTTGCAGGTACTCCCCGAGCTGCTCAGTGTTACATGTGTATGTGCTATGTGATGTCTGAGCAGCATGCTGAAATAATTTTTGGAAAAATTTTTTTTAAACCACTTGGTTTATAAGAAATTTGGTACCAAAAATTTATGAGTAGAGGCAAAAATGCCTCTTCGTCTCTCTCTGTGTATTTCCAGTTGAAAACAAACTGAGAAGTCCTTTAAGAATTTATAATCCATTCCCCATTAACTTAATTTAGCTTTTCCATCACTGTTAATGATCAGAGTAACAAAGTGTGAAAGACAAGAAACCATCACTGATGTTAATGAACACATTTAGATGGGCCAGTTAAACAGCTTCATGAGTTTAAATTAATTGTGAATGGCGTACTCCTCATCTCAGACTTGTGCACTGCATTTTCTACTGTAAACCAAAAGGAATTACTAAGCAAAACCACCTACATTTAAAAGTTGATGATTTGAGATAACCTTACTTTGAAAGGAAGCTTGGCAGTGTCACGAAAGTCACCAGAATCAGCCTGCGTGTCCCTGTGCTCGTCCCTAGCCATCTCGCTCAGTCCATTACTGATATACTAACTATGTAATGACCTGTTGAAACCGGACACCATTTAATGAACTGTGAATTTACACAGAGGCCATTCTAAATGGGTCACCCCATTTAGGATTAGTGGATCTCAAATTATTAACCTAACATCACTCCATTTCAAAGTAAAATATTCCACCAGTGGTTTGATTTATCGGCCCTTGTATTGCCACTTAACATGCCCAGAAAGTAGGCATGTTCCTGCAGTTTGTGAAAACCGTGGCTGAGAAAACCCCTTGCTCGTGGAAGCGCACTTTCGATCGCCCAAGTGGGGCTTTGTCGTTTTCTTACCTGTTATCAATATGGTGCTCGAATATATTCCTGGACCTGTAGCAGAACGTGGGAAGTGATGACAACTTAGAAAACCAAAGTTGTTTATGTTTTAATTGGTCTTGAGACACCAGTATCGTTTTAATGGTCTTTGTATAATTTTCAATGGCTTTCCATTGTTTTTACCTCTCTTAAAATGTTTAAAAAAGAGCATGACCTTGTTAAATGTGCTACATTTTATTTGGACCAGTCACATAAAATGTCTTTCTAGAATTGACTTTGAAGTTGTTTCCAGAAATTTTAAACTTAAGTCCAGAGATTCAAGTTACCCCAACAGATCATGGGCTTAAAACCCAAACCCTCGCCCAACCTTCCCTTCCCAAGCAGTTGATGACACCAGGCAGTCGCTGGTTTTCTTATGACTGACGTGGCCATGGGATGGTCTCAAGGTGTCTCTGGCATTTCAGGAAATAGCATGGCATTCCCTAACAAACAATTATTTACTAGGAAAGAAGGTCAAGGAATAAGAATCCAGCACCTCCTTGACCGCCCCTGAAGTGCGGGGCTCTGTCGGTCTTGGGAGTAGCTGTGGGTGTCCTTACCCCAGTGGTTCTGACCTAATGGAGCCAGGCTGCTCTCGAACCAGCTGCTTCTAGGAGTGGGGCTGTCGAGACGAGGGGCTTCCCCCCAGACAGCTTGCGGTGGTGATACTGGGTTATTGTTAACAGCTTTTCAAGTGCTAAGTTTTCCTTGCTCTTGAAGGAAGGTGATCCTTTAAGGAAGGATCGCTGTTTATTTGTATTTATTTTCAATGACTAGGGTGATTAGGGTTGTGTTTTTTACCCAGCTCATTTGGGTGAAGTCCTGAATCTAACTGGAGGTGGTTTTACGGATCCCGTGTGGGACTGGGGCAGCTGCCCTGGGCCGACTGAAACCAGAGCAGTGCCAGCCGGAGCCCTAGCTGTCCACTGCCGTGCCTGTGTCCCCAGGTGGGAAGTGGCGCACAGCCCAGGCGCTGACTTGCCGGGCTCCTCAAAACACTGTATTTTTCTGTTGAGCCTTTACTTGGGGAAAGATCAGCAGCATTGGGGACAGTAGGAGGAAGTTAGTAATTAGTGTCCTTCAAGCTCAGGGTAGTTCTTTCCCTTTGAAGGAGACAGGCTCCTTTTCCTGCCAACAGCCGCTGTCCATTGGAGGGCTGCGCTGTCCAGCCCTGTGGGGCTCTGGCTGTGGTGGTCGCCCAGTCCAGTCTCTCCCCTTGCCTGGGATGCACCCCGGGAAGGACTTCAGGGAAGGCCCCTTCTGAGCATCCTGGGCTTATCCTGGACACCTGCCTTCTTTAACAGGTCCAGGGGCGGCTCCGTTGACCGGGGCCGGAGAGGAGAAACATAGATGTTTACTGTCAGGTCTCCAAAGCTCCTGATCTTTCCCGAGATTGTAACTGAAAGCTACTGTCTCCTGTTTTATTAATTTGGGGGTGGGGGGAGGTGCTGGCTCGCCATGGGCGTGAAGCAGTGTACGTTTCTAATTTAACAGATTTACCGCGCTCTCTGCTAATTGAGAGAGCATTATTTATTTGTTTTGACACAAGTGCTTTCAGTGTTTTATCCTAACTAATGGCTTCTTAAAGGTAATAAAACCCTTCCAAGCTAATTGGTCAGATAAGACTTTTTTTCCTTGTGTGCTTAAATAAAGCAATCAGTGAAGCGCTTCTATCCAAAATGACTTTTTTTGTCCTTTTTTTAAAAACTAATTTACTGTTACTGGAAACTTTTTGTACAATAAAGCAATCATGCAGATTAAAGAACATCCTGCAATCCTAGTATTAATTTTAACAAGGGGGTTCATGTTTTCTTCAAATGCATCTGTGTTTCGGGAGAGCCTGGCCTGTTCTGTGATCATCTGGGCTGATGGCTGTTTGTTTTGTGCCTGCGGCCTTTGCCTCAGTGTCTGAAAGTCCATCTATCTGTCTAATGGATGCTTTTAAAGGGACTGATCTCTGTGCTATCCAGTATGCAGAAAGGCAGGTCATTACTTAAGAAAGCGCATGCTTTATATGCACACCAAGAAGCATTGGAGATCTTTCAATAAAACTTGCATGTGTGCCTTGTTGAGAAGTAATCCTTACACACAGGCTCCTGGAGACTTGAAAGCTTCTAAGACTCTGAGTGCCTCCTATCCTATTGCACTGAAGAGTTCCGGGATAGTGTTTACCAGTTGAACTCAAAAGCCATTTCCCCTCCAGGGTGTCTGTGTCCAGGCTCCTCTAAGGCCGGGATGGTTCTTAGTTGACTGAGCACGTGATGCCTGGTGGGAGATGCCATCAGGGCACACTAGGTGTGTGTCTGCCTTTAGGGAAACACCAGCATCCACACCTAGAAAAGTGGGAGTTGTCTCTGCAGATAGTCCCCTTGACCAGCTAGGCATTTCGTCCTTGGACGTTGCTGCTGCTTGTGGCAGTTCATTCCTTCCGACCCTGCTGAACCACACACAAGGCGAGACCTCCTCCCACCGGGCGCTCCCCTTGTTCTTTGAGTACAGCGGCACGCCCCCCCCCCCCGCAACGTGCTTATCAGCCGTCGGCTCTACCCGAGAATCAAACCCACTCTTACAGGCTAGACACGGAAGAAGTCCTCCATCCTGACACAGTGCGCGTGGGCCCTGCCGGGAGCATGTGCTGCTTGACTGGTCCCCTCACGGGGCACGTTCCTGACTCAGTTTCCAAGGACCCTCTCTAGAATGGGCGCTACAGGTGTGCGCAGGTACAGTCGACGGGGCGCGTGGAGAGCTGTGCGGTGCGGACCGCCAGGCACGCCTTCCCGGGGCCCTCGCCCACCCTAGCACAGCCGTGTGGATCGGCCCTGCTGCGCTGAGTGACGTCCTCTCAGAACTCTGATCCTAACCCAGAGTTTGAGCACCCTGGGGTCCTTCCTGGTCTGCCTGTCACAGCGGTATAACCGCGGCAGAACGGCTCACCTCGCCTCACATAATTCTTGTCTAACTTTATTGGGTCGTGTTATTCGCCATGCTGGCTTAATTTTGATCATCAGGCTCTCTTGTTCTGGTCAGAATATGGGAACCATGTGGGGAGACGGGCTGCATGTCTCCCCAGAAGGGACGTTCATGGGCTGGGTGCAGGGAGGATGGAGAGTACGTCGGTGCTGGTTGATGGGTGAGTTATGTAAGGTCCCTCCTCTCAGACTTAGAGAGGCGGACTTGGTCCTGGGGATGCCAGCTTCGTTTTGAAGCTCAGCAGCGTGCACACGCAGACACGCACGCCTGGATGACATTCCCCATGTGTTAGCGCTCAGGACTCCTGCAGTTCTCTTTCCAAGTTCCCGCCACCACCCAGATGCCCCCTCGAATCTTGTGGCCTCATGTTTTCGTTTAGTTTTGTTTGAAAGTCAAGGGGAGAACAACCCCCTTCAAAATGCTGCGTATTAGAACTAACAAGGGTGCCGGGTGGGCGTGTGGAGCCTCAGCTGGTCTGAAGTTGCCTCCGATGGGGGACTTGGAGTCGGACGTGGGCATTAGCCGCATTCTGTGTGAGTCTTGTCCCCGACCCCACGCCGCCCTCCGGGTCGGTCTGCCAGTCCACCGCTGGGTCTTACAACACAAAGGCACATTCCACAGCATCAGATGGCAGCGGCTTGTGTACAATTATCTGGTCAATTGAGGCAAAAGAAAATAATCATTTGTCCAATTGTCCAAATTAGCTCCCTGAACGTCCTGAACGTTCCAGATAATTGTATGGGTCTCCATTTCAGCCCCGTAATCTGGCTAAAATGGATCATTTACGTGAGACGCCACGCAACACAATGGGCATTTAAATTGGGCTTCGTTAAAACAGACCACAGAGTTTAGCGATTTCTGTTTGTCAACTGTTATTCTAAAATTGCTTTTAGCTAATTGTCCAAATTCCGCCGTTAGTAATCTCTGTTTCTCTCATCTTGTAGATGTTGTAGTGGAGGCAAAAGGGCTCTGGTTGGCATCATTTGGCCTCTTTTTCTCAGAGGAAGTGCTGAGGGAATTGACTGTGTTTGGTTTTTCTGTTTGTTTTGTTTTAACTTGATGTTCTGACTCAGGACACCATGATGGACCTCCATTTCCATCAGCTCTCAGGGAAATAGCGTCTGCCCTTCTCCCCGCCGAAACTGCCCCCTTTCCAGATGGGGAAACTGAGCGTTGACAGGGCCTTACCAGGGTCACACTGGGGTAACCGAGGGCCGGAACTTGAAGCTTCGACTTTCCCATTTCCAGACCAGCACCTTTTCTGCTTATGCCCTTTTAACTGTCCATTCCTTTTGGTAAAATTAAATGACCTTCTCTGAGAAAGATTTAATGGTCAAGATGTGATTTGGTGAAAAAGCTTCCTCAAGGATTTTTTTCCTTATTGCGAAGATTAAAGCAGGCCGAGGCTGAGAGAGATTTGCCAACAGTAGTATGTCATTATCCCGAGTTCAGGTTTTTGTGTAATTGGTGCGAAGAGATTGCTTCTGATGACTAAGGCTGCCACCCAGCAGACAGCAGTGCTGCTTCTGTGACATGCCTCGGTGTGCGGACGTGCACACTTGCAATTGTTTATATAAAAGGTGTCCATATACAGAAAAACGCTTACCAAGAGGAATCACATCACCTTAACGTTGTAAATAATAAGACGTCATCTTGAGCAGAACTGATGTTTACAATTGCCTGAGAACGTAGCGCTTCGTTTCCACGTGATGCAGTGGCAAGAAATTGATTTTTTTAAATCCAATTAAGCCTCAAGGTTGGTTATCCATTTAAAAGGTTGGCTGAGTTAAACGATGACAGTACCTTCAGTTCGTGCTAATAATTAAATTTGCACAGAACTCCAGCACTTCCCTGGTGCCTCGTGGAGGTGTGCGTTGTGCGGTTTTGCACAATGGTGCCGAGCGGAAGTCCCCACAGAGGTGCAGACACACAGCAGATCACCAACCCTGGCTTGGTAAGTCCCAGAGTTGGCTGCCACCCTGTCATCCCCTCCCGTGGGGTTACCACAGCCCCCTCAGAGAGCGCTGGTCCCCACCCACCCTCTTCTCCATCCACCTCCCCTTTCCCCATACTGTGGCCCCAAGACTATTAGAAAATGGGAAGCAGGTGGGGAGGGTCTAGCTCAAGTGGTAGAGCGCATGTTTAGCATGCATGAGGCCCTGGGTTCAATCCCCAGTACCTCCTCTAAAAAAACTAAATAAATAAACCTAATTACTACCTTCCTCCCCCCCGCCCCCACCAAAAAAAAAGAAATGGAAAGTAGCCTCTCATTTAAATTTAAAAAAGGAACCCTGGGTGTATACACACCTTGGTTTCATGTGCTGCTGAATTTATAACATAACAAATAAATCATGTTTTTAAAATAGTACTTTATAGTGCGTATTTCCTATGGGCTCCAATGTGTTAAGAAAAAGACTTCAAAAGGCCTTTTTATGGTTCTCGTAGGTAATATTTGAGTATTACTGAATTTATGAAGATGTTAGGAGATCCACGGACCTGACTGGAATGCTTTTTGCTCTGTTTGGGTTATAATGTCACTCCAGTTTTGTAAATCACTGAGAAGGGGTAAGTGATCTTGTTTCAAACCTAGCATTTTAACCCACGTTGGTCATACAAGCAAGGGTGCTCTAAGTTTGCACTTTCCACCCCATAACTACAGACCAGCCTGAAATATGGAAACTTCCAGATTCAGTGAGAAAAAAATACTGAATTTCCTTCTCATGGGCCTTTTAAAAAAATGGCAATTTCTGGTTAGTTTTTCCTTCCCTCGCCCTTTCCTCCACACTGTTCAGCTGCCCACATCCTCAGCAACAGACCTGTGATGCTGTTTTACTTTTCAAGAGATCAGCATTTAGATACGACCAATAGATGTGTTGCTTTACACAGGAGTGTTTCTGAAAAAAAAAAATATGACTCAGAGGTTTGAAGACTGAGTCATTTTCAAGGCACTAGAGAAGCATCCTACTTAAAAGGTTCCTGTAAGTGAAGATTTTCCTGAAGAAACGGTTTCACGATCAGAATAAACACTGACCCCCCTCACCTTGCTTTTCTATACATCTGCTTTGTCCTATGCCCGGCTTGAGTCAAAGAATGTAGAAGCAGGGAGGGCCTGTTGACGGTGTCTCTCTCACTTCCCGTAGCCGCCTCCCCAGCCCCAGGCTCCAGGTCCTCAACATGCCCTTGAAAACTTCTGCGTCTACGAAAATAATTTCGCTGGTGTTGAGAAGTAAATAGAAATTCAGTTCCCGAGACCTGAGGGTTATCACTCTCCAACACAGTGCCCTTCCTGGGAGAATCATTTAGGCTGCTGGCACGGCTAGGGGCCTCCGAGAGCAGCAAAGTCAGCCCCCTCATTTTATGGAGAAGTCCTAAAAGCTGATGTTAGAAGGAACACTTTTTGTTGTTAATAAATGGTTCCACTAGCACATTTTTATTAACACCTTCTCTCATCCTACTGATACTGGAAAGTAAAAACAGTGCTTCAAAATGTACTTTTAAAGCACATGCAAAAGATTATGTGCAATGTGCTCTTTTGTGTTAAGACCCATGGAAAAAAAATTATATATATATATTTTTTTTTTCCAAAACGAAACAGGAAAAATAAACTAAAAACTAATAAAAATGATTACTCTGGGCGAATGAGTGGAAGGGGGTGGCAGGGACAGGAGAGTTCTTTGAGCATTCCTTTCTACAGTTTCATCTTCTGAACCGTGTAAGTGTTTTATGTATTCAAAACATGAAAATGTGGGAAAAAATATGAAAACAGTTGTAAAACAAAGAATGTTGCCCACCGTCCA